CGGTGGATGCGGCTCTTACTTGGGTTGGGAAGCTGCTGAGGGAACAGAAGAAGAATGACTTTCGGCCAAAAGAGGGGGTTTCTGATGGAGATGGAGCGTGGTTGGAAATGTTACAGACTCCGGTATGCTGATTCCTTATGGCATTTATTTGTGGTAGCCTAACTAACAATGACTATCGACAGACCTGTGGAGCAATCTCTGCATTCTTAACACGATTACACAGCTTCACAATCTCCTCCCTCCCACCGAGTGCTTTTAATATTCGAACACTTCTGACGGAGATTGCATTGGGGGTCCGCTCTCTTCTACTTGACCACTTTAAACGCTTCAACGTCAACGGTCCTGGTGGGCTGATGGTGACGAAGGATATGACACGTTATGTCGAGTTGTTCCGATCATGGGACCTTGAGGAGGGCATTAAGGGGGTAGGGGGATCGTTGGACGTCCTGCTCGAAGTGGGAAGTCTGTTTGTTATTGGGCCAGAGGCTTTACGAGAAAGAATCCGTGGTGGTAGTGGAGGAGGGGGTGGAGGGTCAAGTGGAAGAGGGGCAACAGGTGGGAGGGATGGAAGCAATGGTGGAGGGAGTGGCCAGGGTAAAGGGAATGCTCCTGCACTTAGTGTACAGGAAGTTAGGGCCTACGTGCTTCGGAGAGAGGACGCGGGTAGTGTTGGGATGCAGAGTGTATTAAGCTCTCTATAGTGAATGTTCCTCATTTCGACGCTACCTATATCATCCCCTTCCCCTTCCTCTTCCTCCTCCACGTCCTCCCTTTTCATCGCCGTCGACTCTCGAGTCAGTTCCATATCACGTGATATTACGGTAAATCCCCCACATGGAAGGAAAGCCACGCTAGTCCCAAACATTCACTAGCGCGTAGTTTAAAACTCGTGTCCCATGCATCATAATTGGCCCGTGCTTCCCCCTCCCTTTCTTTTATTTTTATGCTTGTTCTATTCCGCAGGTTCCACCTTTCCATTATCATCAAATTCCGTGAACAACCTCAACACCCACCCGCCATGGATTCAGCACAACAGATTACGTTCACGCCACGTCGTAACTTGCCTCCTGCTGAGGTTGACTGCAAATGGTGGAAAAAGGGGAACTGTACTCGAGGGAGTACGTGCTTTTTTAAACATGATCCGGACCAGGCTGGGGTAGATAACCCTGACAAGGGGGCCGAGAAGAAAGAGACTCGGGACGGGGAGAAGGGAGCTGTAGAGAGCTCAGGAGATGGTAAGTGAATGTTTTGGCATGGTTATTCACATGTTGTGGGGGTATAGAGAAAGATGCAGAGCTCTGCAATGTCCTCGAAGCTCTTGAGGGTCTATCCCTTGCTCTCATACTCCTCTATGACGTTGACAAGGCTCCTACTAACGCTGTCGTTTTAGCCACTCAACAATGCTCCATATGCTTCGAAGTACCTGAAAAGTACGGATTGCTCATAAACTGCGATCACGTTTTTTGTCTAGGTACCTATCCATCACCCCGATAGCTGTTTGTATATTGCTTGCTCTCATACGTGTTGGAAGCCGTGCGGTAACTTACTAACTCATGATCTTCTTCTGTAGAATGCATCCGGAGCTGGCGAACTTCAGCCAAGAATAGTTCGGAAGACGACCCTCTTGACCCCATGTCCGAGAACTATAGCACTCTCAAGAAGACGAGCAAGACCTGCCCCATGTGCCGAGTCCAAAGCGACTATGTCGTCCCGAGCACCTTTTTCCCAACCCCACCATCCTCCGACTCATCCTCCAAATCTTCTTTATCCACAACTAGCAAATCCAGCTCGTCAGAGAAACAACCTATCAAAAACGAGATCAAAGAGGACATCGTGAACTCCTACTTATCTCGCCTAAAGACAATACCTTGCCGCTACTTCGAACACAGCGTCCAACGCAAACGCATCGGATTCCGCAATGCAAAACTAAACTGCGGCTTCGGCAATAACTGCCACTACGCACACATCGACCCAGACACACAAGAACCTTACATCTTCTCCACCGCAGAACTCAACACCATGAAAGCTAGGCGGGCACACAAACGTTCCAGAGCACGAGATATGATGGTCCAGCGAGAGATGGCAATGATAGTCAGTGGCCTTGGGGCACAGAGCTTCGAGGACTCGAGTGAACTCGGTCAAGATGATTTGTATCCTGGGCTTGGAGTCGGCGATGAGCTGGCTTTTGAGGCTTTTTCGGAGTTCTTTGGTCCGTCGCCGTTTATGTATGAGATGATGGGTGGGGGTGGGGAATCTGTTATTGGGGCCGATGATGACTGGGAGACTGAATCCAGTGATGAGGAAGATGACGATGACGAGTATGGGGAGTTTTATCTTTAAGTGAGATATCACTGTGGAACTCCATTTCGGGTTCGGATTCTTTCTCATATTTTTTACTTCCTTTTCTTATTACATTTTGTGTGGAGCGGGTTTAGGACTATGCAGGCGCTGACAAAGGAGTCTTTATCTAACAATCTCTTATACCTTTGGCTATTTTTACCATGCCAGCGTGCTCAGGCTGTGGTGCCTTTTCTATACCTTTTTTATTATAACCTACTGATGAAATACCATATTTAGTTGATGAAACCAATCTTTTGAGTGGGCTCTAAAGTTGTCACTTGTCCGTCACTCTAGAAGCAGGTGTGGCGGGGGTGTTAATCATCGTAGCATCATCAGACATATCAGTTCCATTCTACAACCAACCATCTACTAACAAAGAGCCGTTAAATCAACCCCCGCCAACCCCTCCGGAATATCCAACCCCTCCGCCGTCCAACTTGCAACCGCAAGCTCATACGTCCACGCCAACACCGTCTTCACCCAATGCGTCCTCCTCCCCCAAATCGCCTCCTCAACCACCGTCCCCACCCCATTCAACACGAAAAAAGCACCAATCCTCAACAACGCAGGTCCCGAAAGAAGTGGCCACAGCCCATATACATGGAACATGGCCATTAGGAAGAACGACGCGATAACTCCTGCGCCCCTGGCTAGTTGCACTGGGACCCCGAAATTCCGTCGCAATGATTCGCAGACCGGATCGTAGGCTAGGGAGCGGCAGGGGGATGTGAATGCTCCATGCCAGATGTTGCTCCAGAATGTGCCGAGGGAGTTGGCTTTGTAGATTGGGCCGAAGAGGGGTGGGCTGGAGGGGTAGCGGAGGGCGAGTTGGAGGGTTGTCCAGAGGATGTAGATTGCGAGGAGGATCTGGGTGGCGATTATGGTTGGGTTTGTTTGGAGGAAGAGGGTTTGGAGGGAGAGGAAGAGGAGGGAGTGGAGGAGGAGGTTTGTGGGTTCGGAGAAATTGAGGGCTGAGAGGGTGCTGGTTAGTGAGGGGCGTTTTCCGTTGGTGCCGTTTGTGTCGGTTTGGGGGGTGGTTGTTACGGGGAGGAGGGCGCGGCTGATGTAGTTTGGGGTGAAGGATTCGTAGCGGAGCTCGGTGAAGAGAAGGAGGGCGATTATAGAGGAGTGTGGCGGGTTAGGGTAGGCGTATTTTGGGGGAGAATGACGGCGGACATGGAGGTCTAGGCCTTTCATGACGCCAATTGCAACTGTAGAGGGTCAGTATGGGTATCTCGCAATGCAATCCAAATTGGACGGTTTTTTAATAGCAACTTTGCTAGCAAATATTGACGCTAGCTTGAAGAAGAGATGCAAAGAAAATATAGAGCTTTTAGGGGCATCGATCGCACTCTACGCCAGAACATGAACTATTTACGGAAAGAAGATCGAGCTCAGATACCAATGGCTGTGTGTTTGGCGGGAAAGAAGAACATGGGCTACTAACCCGCGAAGTAGTGCAAGCTTCGAACGACCCCACAGTCAGAAACTGCGATCCAAGTACTCGCGACAAACAGCGAACTGGAAAGTACTCTCAGCGCACTGAATGCCCTTAATTTTCTCTCCACCAAAGCATATATTGCCAGGTAGAGAAGAATTCCCGGAATGCTTAGCGATGCGACAGTGATTGATAGATCAATCGCTAATTTGGTGAGAACGTCCTTCGCTTCAGTGGTGAGTTCTAGCGCGTAGTACATTTTGGCTTCGTTTGGTTCGAGGTCAAAGTGTTTTCGCGGGAGATGCGCCGCAGGGTATACCGGGGGAGTCGTATACCTGGTGGGCCTTAAATCAACGACAGAATGTAAAACCGGCCCCCCAAATGCTCATTGAGTAAAGGACAGAATAGACAGAACGCGCAGAAGAATATAAAAGCGATAGAAATAATCCAGAGTGCTTTGAGATCGGATCTGGTCGTCCAGCGTGTGTTTCGGCGGATACAACCGGCCGTTGACGTCGATGATGGAGATCTTTTGTACTTTCTCAGCCTCGCCCTCTCCACTACGGATGTTGTGGATCGATAATAACTCTCTTTTGTTTGCGATGCCCTCATGTGATAACGGGGCTTGCATGTTTCTTCAGGAACAAAGGCTAATCGGAGATCGTGCTGTCTTTCAACCGGGGATCATGGATGGGGTAAAACGACGGGAATACCAGGCAGCAAGTATCTCTGACAGACCCCATCTCAATATATTTGCCACTGTTTCCAAGTGTGTTGAAGATGTGAAGATGTGCATTTCCCGGGATGTCCGGAGCCAATGATGGCGGTGGTGGACATGTGTTCGTCCATATGAACGAGAGTGAAGATGGGGATGTTATGCGGGCCGACAAGGAACAGTTTCTGCCAGCATGAGGTGGTATCCAGGCACAGGGCCAGACTCTTCGATGGGAGAGACAATTTAATTAATTGCCCTTGTGCCCGGCAGGAGTGATTCTTCACGATTAACCCCTAGAATATAGAAGCCGATGCCGAAAGACGCTGACACTGTTTACGCTCTTCACCCTCACCCAAACATCCAGGGCTCAGGTCTCAGCACGTGCATGACATCATCATCCGACAACCGCCAAGCCTCTTCCACCAACTCGGCTATGACGAGCATGCGCTTAATCTACCGCGTTCTTGCTACTTTAATCTCATCATGACAACGCTGAATAACGAACATAGTCTGGTGGTGCAATGGTAGCATAGGTGGTTGACAGCAGAGAAATCTGTCCCCTTCGGGGGGCCGCCAGATTCTGGGTTCGATTCCCAGACCAGGCAAATATTTTTTTTACCCCTTGACAGGGTGGTCTTGCCAAAATGCCTTTCCTGACAGCAACTTCTTCATGGAAGCAGACTTGAGTCACTTGCTACCTACATATCCACTGGCAGGGTAGAGCTTCAGGAATATTTGATCGATAGACATAGGGACCCATCGGATGGAGATATGAACGTGATTTCGTCTATTCTACTTCTCAGGTATGATCAAATTATTTCAGGTCCACAAATGCACCACCCCAAGCTAGCCACCTCGCCGTTCATCAGGACTTGATATCGGTCTTTGACAACTTAGCAGCAAGGTTGTCGACCTCCTTGTCCTTCTTCTCAGCAACATTCTCTTCTTCAGCTTCTTCGGCTTCCTTGACAAGCCTCTCAGCCTTCTTCTCAGCTTCCTCCGCACTTTCTTCTTCTTCCTCTTCCTCTTCCTCCTCCTCCTCTTCTTCCTCCTCACTCTCTAGCTCGTCCAACTCGTCGAGCCCCCATACTTCCTCATCGTCATCATCGGAACCATGTTTCTCCTTTCGCTCCTCCAACAACTCCCTCAATGCCGAGATATTCTCGTCCTCCTCGTCGAACTTATTTCCGTTTAGTTCGACCCTCTTGAGGGCAGGTAGCGCATTCTTCGCGGCATGTGTAAATTGCTTAACACCCTCGCTATTGATATCGTTATACTGCAACCGGAGCGTCTCAACCTTCTTATTCTTGCCCGCAGCAAGTGCCACCGCCACCTTAATCCCCCCACGACCAGAAAGTAGACAGTCACCAACCCCGAGTTCGCGCAACGACTCCCACCCCTGAATCACACCAGCCAAAGCACCAGAGCCAAGATTCGTAAACGTATTATCCTGTAGGTCGAGAATTTCGATCGCAGTCGCATAACGCAGCCCCGCCTTGAGAAGAAGTGAGATCCCCTCCTGACGGATCCCATTCTGGGTCATCTTCACAACGCGAATACCAGAAGCATGCGCCTTGTATGCCCTTGCCCACGCAGCCATACTGCCGTTCTCAAGCCTGTTCCGGCCACAAACAACGGTCTCCAAGAATGGCGACTTGATGCGTTCTCCGTCCACGGTATCCTTGCTGGCTTCCACCTTCCGCTCTGCAAGCTTCGTCAACGCATCAGCGATCATAGTCCCCGCGTTCGGGCCGAGGCCATTGTTATTAAGGATCAGGTGTCGAAGTGGGACGTGGCGAGATAGGAAATCGACGAGGGGCGCTTGGGTGTTGAGACCGAAAGCATTGTCGCTTAGGTCAACGGTGTGCAGGGTAGGAATCTCAAGAAGCGCGTTCAAGAGGGATGATAGGGCGGGTGGGATTTCGGAGAGGAGGCGGGATGTGAAGATATCGGCGAGGTTTGCGATCTGGAGGGATTTTTGGGCGGAGAGGGCTTTTGCGAGGCGTTCGCAGGCGGGGACGCCGAAGGTGTTGCCGCCGAGGCGGACTTCGGTGATGGATGTGCTTTCGAGGAGGGGTTTGATGTGCGCTTCGATGTCGGACGCGCTTTCGAGCTTGAGGCCCTTGCCCTCAAGGGTGAAGAGGTTTGTTGGTGGGGGGGCCATGTCTGTGTTGATCAAGAGGATTGTGTGCTTCCGAAGAGCTTTAGGACGTTGGATGTGAAAGAAATGTCGAAATGAAACAAAAAGAAATGAAGTATCTCTAGTGAAATAGAAGTCTTCACGCAGAGATGAGAGACAGGAGAATTAATTAGTATTATTCTATGTGCAAGTTTGTTTTGGTGGGGGTTTTTTTGAGGCTAAAGAAAATGATAAGGCGCCTCCCTTGGGGCATTTCGTTTGTCTGTAGAGACCTTGAACGCAGTCTTCATCACCAGTTCCCGTGATCGCCATAATTATTATCAATCATCAATCTCAAGATTCGTACAATTTCTCCGGTTCCTCTCCTCTAGCAACAGGTATACAGGCAGAAAGAAGGAAAGAAACAAAGAAACGTCACAATGGGGTCCTCTCAATCCACAATTCCAAGCGGTAAGTGAATGTCTTTTCCACTCTGCCTAATCCCGTCCGTCCCTCTACAACAAAAATCTTGAAAGATATATAGAGTACTAACTTCTCAATCTCTCCCCAAACAGCTCCTCCCACAGCCTCACCCGCCGCAGCTCCTACGCCTTCATCCTCCTCCTCCCCAGAACAGACCAGCAAGCCAAAGGTTAGAATCAATCCGCATATCTACCTCCCTGTCTACCACAGAACCCATCCAAGTCCCCGCTCCCTACGGAGAAATACAAGAAGCTAACGGATAATATCCCCACACAGCCCTGCTGCGTATGCAAAGACGAGAAAACCGCCCGAGACGATTGCATGCTCTTCTCTAAATCCGACGACCCGGCACAGAACGAGTGCAAGCCCATGGTGGAGCAGTATAAGGCTTGTATGGCGGGATACGGGTTTAAGGTCTAGGCCACTTCTCTGTTACTACTTGCTGCGATTAGGGGTTGTCTCTGTATGATATAGGAGGGTGATGCATATACTGGAGTTTTCTTTTGAACTTCCGCTCTGGAAGGTATTTGTGTATACATACTTGTTGGGTGTTGATCTGTGCGATCGGGTGTACTTGTTACTGTTTGGATAGACTGATAGAGGGTATATAACATCTCGTCTCTTCGATTGGGTATTGCTTTATGTATGATGCCATCGTGGAAAGTATTTATTGAGATTGATTCTCTAGCTTCGAACTTGAAGGAAAGAAGTTTTATTTGGGTATCATGAGTCTGGAATAAAGACCATAAGAAAGAAGCCTAAGTAACTAACTAAACAAGAAGATGGCGAAATATAAAAACCCAGCATTTCCGAAGAAGAAAAACAATTGTTGAAACGCGAGATGGAAAAACCCGGGGTTTTTACTGTTTCTTCTTCTGTTGAATCCCCGTATCGTCTCCGGAAGACTGCGAACTGGAGTTGAATAGCCCACTTTGTTGTACTAGCTTCCACGTACACCAAAGATATGCGATCCCGAATCCAGCGGCTCCTATTAGGACGTTGAGGACGACCCATAGATCTGGCTTGGTGGGTGGTGGAGGTACGAAAGCTTCAAGGACATGCCATCCAACCATTGCGACGTAGAAGCTTATGTGGAGCAGGGTTACGACTATATGCACGGGAGTTGCTTCACCGCCTTCATTTGTTCGGCTTCTTCGGTATACTTCCAGTGAGACTGGTGGGAGTCCGAGGAGGTACGCCCATAGTAGAGTAAAGATATAATATGGAACGCGGAGCTCATCCCGCTTCAGGAGTGGGAAGAGTGTCCAAGTTCCTAGGATATTCGCCCATCCGACCCATGCCCTAGTTTCCTTGCTTAAACCGGTGTCACTTGCGAGGAGAAGAGTCATAGGCAGGAGGGGGAGGAGGACGCTCTTCTCGTGCACTTGGAATGAGCAGAGGAAGAATCCCCATGCAGTACTCGACAGAGCTAATGGGAGTAAGCTCCGCCTTGGAAATCGGCCGATGATAGCGCAGGACGGAAGGATGGACAGTAACGTTGCGTATAAGGAGAGCCGCTGTAACAATTCTGAGGGGAAGCGGTGGAGCTTATAGAAAGTGTGAACTGCACACCAGAGGTTGGCGACTTTATCCTCGAAAAGTCCTCTCGAGAATGGGAAGATCCGGTGGACGGATTGCGATAGCTGGAGAGCGACTGCATAGAGCCATGAGTTGGTGTCTAGTTTCGAGAGAAGAGGCTCGAAAGAAGCCGGTGCCGGTTGGGACAGCGGGATGTTGCGATATTTGTCATAGATAGCACCAACGATAATGGGCGCAAAGACAATGGCAAAGGCGACAAGCGTAATGAGCGAGATGCCCAAAAGACGACCTATTCTGATCCGCGGAAAGACGCAGACGCCGAGTAGGAACGCGAAGATTGTTGGGGCGTAATAAAGTGCCATCTGCTTAAACCCGAGGGCACCAACGAAGAATACACACGCCCACAAGTTCCTCCCAGCAAGCAGACTCTCCAAACTAGCAACCACAAGCCCGAGCATAACCGTATTGTACTGGAAGTGTCCATGATCGACGAGGATGGTTGCAGGCTGCATTAGGATCGCAACGAGAGCAATCGAGGCCGCCCACACATGAACTCCCTGAGCTCGTGTATATCGCCGAGTAAGGATCACAACCGCCGGTATGTATACGAGGTATTCCGAAACGACGACAGTTGCTCGCATGAAGACTTTCAAGAGGGGTTCCTCTAGGGCGCGGGATTCGTCCAAAGCAAACCATGATGGATTGATAAGAGAGCCGCTACATATACGTTAGCAATTGACAAGTTCATCTACCCGTTTAACAAAATACGGGAACATACATGATTCCTAACAGCCAGCTATGGTATGCGGTAAGCGGGGGATAGTCGAGACCCCACCACTGCAAGTCGTAAAAGTACCATTTCGATATGGGCAGATGAGTCGTTATTTCCATCCAGTGTCTCTGGGCTTCGAAATCACCGTGCATTGGCGGTACATTGAACCCTATCAGTCACAATTGCCCGTTAGTCCAGCCGTCAGACCACGATTCACGGCTCACCGCGGGAGCTTCATTAAACCCACCAGAGTATCCCCATAAACTAGCGCCCCAGCGAAACAGGCCCACAGCCATGAGAATCGAAGGTAGAATTAGCCATTGCGATGTACCAGCACGAGCAGGCCAGAGGAAAGCGACGAGCGGGAAGGCAGGCTTCGCGAGTCCGGTGTTGTTGTCGAGGACAACTAAGTCAGCATTTGAGCTGGGGGATCCCGTCGATAAGACCTTCCGCTTCTTCCGAGCGCGACGGGAGGAGGGCGTCGATGCTGGAGAGGATGCCATTTTCTTATTCAATCAATGGCTTCCATTGCAGTCAGTGAGTGAGTGCTGGAGTTGAAACTGGGGAGATTGGCTTGGTGGTTGGACTTGAAGCTTGTTGGTGCGTGCGGGATTATTTTACGACAGTGTACAATACCGTACAAGATGGAATACGACGGCAATGAAGACATTGAACTATCCCCCGATATTTTAA